TTTCTAGATGAGGAAGCATTTCAGTCCTGGAGCCTTCAGTTCCAAGGACAGGTCCAAGGCAGGCCTGGGCCATCCTGGTGTGGCCACCTCTTTAGGCCAGGCCAGGTCTTCCTAAATTAGATTTGTGCTTGCACGTTCAGCTTTGCAAATTCAGAATAAATAAACCACAGTTACAGCCACACTAGTGTCCCGTGCTCTGTGACCCCTAAACTCTGGAACATGGGGGTCTGGAGGCCAGGGAACTGGGTTGGCCCGGTGATTTGGGGCATGGCCCTGGCATACATCTCTCCCATCTTCCTATCTCCAAGATTTCTGTGAGCGCATCCAGAGCTTGGCCAAAAGCCAAGCCTGCACTAGCTGACTCTTAAGCAGGCAGGCAACCCCATCGGAAGGGGAAACCTGTTCCCTTCTTCAAACATAATGCGACTGGCTGTGGCTGGGAACATGACATGTTTCAGCAGATCCATGTCAGTGCCTTCCCTTTTTGTACCCTCCAAAGCTGTGTCTGTGTCCTGCCCTTTTCCCTGTGCCAAGCACACATCCACCAAGGCCCTGGTGGCAGCCTTGCTTGGGGACTGCATGAGGCCACTGATTCTGGGCTACCACAGCCCAACCCAGTCCATTCTTTTAGGCTATAGTTGGCACCATCCCCCATCACAGTGTCCCACGAGGCTGTCTGCAAATCTGCTTGGCCCTGTGGTCCAGCAAGCCAGAGCCCTCTGAACCATCTCTGTCTTGGGTTTCATCCTGAACTCTCTGGAAATGGGGCATCCTCTTTGGGGTCCCACCACCAGTACCCTTCACTGTCTGCCCCCTCAGAACTTCCTCAGGAGCCTCCTGCCTTCAGGGACTCCAGGACAGACCTGTCCTCCCTAACCCAGGTTCCTGTCCCCAAGGCTCTTGGCCAATCATAGTCCCTCACCACCCCCTTTCCACACCTCCCATCAGTTCCTCCTTGTGGGCCAGACTCACCAGGCAGACAGCCCCTCCTCACTTCCTCCTCCTGGAGAATCAGGAATCAGAGCCATTGTCTTGCCTGGTTTCCCCATCCCAGGACCCTCTCTGGCCACAAACCAGCAAGCTTGGGGCACATCTGGGAAGCAGGTCAGTCCACTGCTGGGAAGACTGCCCCTCTCCCAGGAGGGTGGGGTCCACCAGGCTGCCCCAGGCAGGTTAAAGGAGTCTCTCTTGCTCTTCCTCTTCCTCCTGGCAGTTAGCCCCCAGTACACCCCTCCCTGCCCAGCCTCATTCATGGGTGTCCTGCTTCCCAGGCAGGCATCCAGGCTGTGTGCTGCTGGGATCAATGACTGGACCATCGCCTGAGCTTTCATTAAGTGTTTGCTGGCTAGCTCCTCTGAGGAGGCAGCTGGTACAGAGCCTCAGTCAAGGACTAGGTGGCTTCAGTGCCCCTTTGGAAGGCAGTACCAGGGATGGTGGTGGCAGCAGGTGAGGGGTCCAGTGTCACCAGACCACAGGACCCCTCCAGGAATTACCCTTTCCATCTCGTTCCTGCGGGTCCTGCTCCCTTGAAGGAGATAAGAAGGCTCTGGGAGAGGTTAAAAAGCTTTGGAAAAGGTCAGAGGTCAGGTCGGGGAAGGCAGCAGATGGAGGCACTCCCGCCATGAGGGAGCCAACAGCATATAACAGAGGACACTGCCAGAGGACACTGGGGACTGAGGGCCTGGGCAAGGAGCAAGGAGGGACAGGAGAGAAGGCACCCAGGGAGGGCCCTCACCTCTGCCTACCCATTTTCCCCTGCACCGGTTCAAGGTTTGGTGGAGGCCCCAGCACCCCAGATTCAGATCATAAACGCAGGTGAAACCCTTCGGGATGATTCCTTAGCCCGTAGCCGGTTTCTCTCTGCCTAAACAGGGGCCGATTTCTGAAGCCAGATGAGGTGAGGAACCAGGGGTGTGGCCCCCCTGTGCACACACGGCCTCCAACACATATCCCAGAGGCACCAGTCTCCCCGCCACGCAGAAATTGGGGTGTGCTCAGGAAGCCTGCACCCTGTGGTCCGGGGGCGATTTCCCGCGCTTGATGGGTTGAGGGAGGGGGCGTGGTGCCCGCCCTCCGGTTTATGAGAACCAGACAGACTTCCTCCGTTGCGACATCTGGGCCTCTTCGAGGCTTCAATTGTCCCCGCAGCGTAGGGCCTCGCCACAGCGTCCGCCCCGGCCTGGCTTGTCAACCTGGGGCCTGATCCACGTTTCCCTGCAGGACACTCACCCCGCCCCACCCCCCGGGCTCCAGAAGACCCCTTGAACCGGGAGGGATCCTGGCACCAAGGCTGGGGCCGGCTCCGCGACACGGAGACCCCAGCTCTTGATGGGGCGACTCTGAGCCAGTTCCAACCCGCTGTATCCCCAGAACCCACAGATGTCTGACCCCTGGGACAGCAGACCTAGCGCGCGAAGATCCGGCTCGGCGGAGGGCGGGGGGAAAAGGGGGCGGGCCCAGGCGTCGCAAGGCCGGGCGGGGGTGGGGCCTGGTCTGGGGGCGGGGCACACTAGGGGCGGGGCCCAGAGACGCGCACCGCGCGGGCGGGGGGCGCGAGAGGAGCGGGCGGGGCGCGCGCAGCGCGGAGCTGGGTTCGGAGCGCGCGGGGCTCGGCAGCCCGTAGAGCCGCGCGGGGGCCGCGCCAGGACGGCAGCGAACGCGCGAGCCTCGGAGGCTGCGGACCCGGGAGGAAGGAGCCGCCGCCGCCAGCTGCCGCCCGCCAGGAAAGAGCCCAGGCTGCCCCAGCCATGAGTCCCCCGGCTCCGCCAGCCCAGCCGCGGTCCGAGCAGCACTCCCCCGGCGCCCTGGCCCGCGCGGCCGCTGCTGCGCGCTCGTAGGTACGGCCTCCCTGTCCCCGGCTCCGGGCCTTCAACCCCAGACCCCAGTGTCCCCAGGGCTGCGCCCGTGTGCGCGCCGCTGCTAGGAGAGCGCCGCCGCCGCACGCGCCCCTGTCCGAGCGTGTCGCCTTTGTGTGCGCGGGTGGGAGGAGGAGGAGGACGCGCGAGGGAGGGGATGCGCCCCCGCTGGGATCGACTGGCGACCCCCATCCAGGGCCGGACGGGGAGTGGCGGGAGGGGCCAAGTTGCCTCTGGAGCAGCTGCGTCCCCGCCCCCTGCTACGACCCGGCTGGGTGGTGAGGCGAGCGCCGCTGTCCCCTTGAAGGAAGAGGAGGGGTCTCTGGCTGGGGGGAGGGGCCCCTCAGGTCTCTTAAGGCCATAGGGAGGGCGGGGCGGGGGGGTCACAGGCCCCAGTCTCCCAGCCGGCACGCCCTCCATTGGGCCTAGAACCCCTTTCCCACGGTCCAAATTATCGACCTCTCTGAAGCGCCGGGGCAGCCCCCATTAGTGGGGTGCATCGCCTGGGGTGCCTCGAGAGGCGGGTGCCTTTAAGAAGGGGCGGGTTCGTGCCCTCCATTCAGGCCCTTCGGCCTCGGCCATTGAGAAACCTGCAGGCTTCGCGGGCCAGATCCGCGCCGGCTCAGCGGACGAGGCTGAGCTGGGGCAGGACGCACCCAGGCCCCCAGCAGCCCTAAAAGTAGGATCCTTAGGGGAACAAGTCAGCAGTGACCGGGGCCTCTGCGCAGCCACGCAGTGCAGACCGAGGAGTCTCAGGAGTATCGGTGAAGATGAATAAGCCAGAATCTCCGTTGGCACGGAGGTGGTGCCAAGGAGAGCAGCAGGGTGGGCTGGCCGACCTGGAGTGAACCCTCCCTCCAGCCAGCATGATCCACCCTGCAAAGTGAGGTGGTGTTTCCTGCCTCCTGCCGGGTGACCAGTGGGAGTCGTCCCCTTCTAACACAGCAGAGGGCCAGGCTGAGCCCCACATCTAGGAGGGGGTCCAGGGGCCAGGTTTCCCCAGGAGGCTGTTGGGACAATCTGAAGCTCTATACTCTAGAACAAATCTTTTCCCTCCTGGCCTCTCTGCCCCATCCAGGAAACCACTGGCTGGGATTCCACTTAGAACTTTGCAGCTGCAGTAAGTTTGGGAAGGGTACCACAGCGATCCTGTTAGGATGAGGGTCTGGAGAGAAGTTTCCCATCGCCCGTCCTTGGATGTCTCTCCCCAACCTCTGGGAACCCCACTCGCCACTCAGTTGATTGGTTCTTGATAATGAAGGCACATGCTTTTTATACCTTACTGTGAAAAGTCTGTCTGAAGTTTCCAGCCCCTCTTCCCTACCTGTACTCCAGGTCTCCCAGGGAGTACTCTGGAGCACAGAGTTAGGGGGCCAGCTTCCCTTGGAGTGCTGGAGGTGGCATGTCCACCCAGGTGGAGCTCAGGCCACCCAGGGCTCTGCTTCTGGTTTTGATCTGACTTGTGCCAGGTTAAGGGCATCAGTGCTATTATTACCTTGTGGGTTCAGACCTGCTGTCATCCCTGTTTTACAGAGCAGGAGTAGGTTTAATGGAGATGAAATTACCTGCCCAAAGTCATAGACCAGGTCTTCAGAAAGCCCCTTTTCTCTGACAAGAGCCCAGACCTACTCCCAATTTCTTCCATTACCTGCAGCCCTCATTGCAGAGATTGGAGGGGGTTAGGGAATGAGGGCCTCCAGAACAAGGGGAGCCCCCTCGTGGCCTGATTCTACTCTCCCAGTGGGGCCGCAGGACACTCAAGTGTTCTTGGGCCTGGGGAGATTTCTCTGCCCCTTACCTGCTTGAGGCTGTTTTTATGACTCTGCTCAGTCCCTGGAGACAGCAGATGTGATCTCGATACAAGGTCACAGCCCACTCTATTTGGACAGAGCAGGGCAGGGCACACTGTGTCGGAGTGTGGCATCATTTGCCTCTTCTGGGTGAACAGGGTTTGTATTCCATTCTTAGAAACGTCTGACCCTCTGAGGACAGGACCCACCTAGGCATCCAGTCTGGTGGAGGAGACAGGCCTCAAGCCAGGTGGCATTGTGGAGAGGAAAGGGTGGAGGCCGGACAGGCCAAGGGGCATTCCTGGCCTCTGTAAGCAGGGACCTGCCAGCCACGGGGGGGCGGGGGGGGGAGTAGTCCGGGTGCTGAGGAATTCAGGGAAAGAAGCATAGAACCTTAACTAGCACCTGCAGCTCATTAAGCTCCTGGGCGACCAGAACTGAGGGAACACAGAGGTCTCAGGCATCACTGGTATGTGTCATCAAAAGGCTAGAAGACAGACTGACAGACGACTGACAGTGACTAAGAAGCGTATTGCATAGGTCTAGGGGTCAGGATAGGGCCCAAGGAAGGTCCATGACACCTAGCAAAGGAGAGGCTTTGAGACTCCAGCCAGCACTAGAGAGGGGACCCCTCTGCTCTTCAGCCTCAGGAGGGCAGGGTAGAGAGGACACAGCAGGACAACTGCAGCTGGTGCCAGCCAGGCCTGCTCTCCACCAGCAGGACCCACTGGGGAACTGTCCAGCACAGGGTGCTGCTGAAGGAACATAGGCCACCTACTTTTGAGACCCCAGGCCTGGGCTTAGCTTGTCCTGGTTTCCCACTCCTGCTGCTGTGACCCCACACTTCTTGAGGGCCCTACTTGTGGGTTTCCTTGCCTCTCAGCATCTCCAGGTGCTCCCTTTTATCCTCCAAAGCAAGGACTGAGGTTCCCTGCTGTGCCCTAAATTGGGGGGGGGGGGTCCTCCCCAGGAACAGGTCCCTGCTCAGAGCAGTGCGAGCTCTGCTCCACTGTTGCCCATTCTGTGACCCTGGACTTGCCTGAGTGGCGCCTGGCATGCAATGGGAGCCTGGAGATCCAGCAAGTGAGGAGCTGGTCACCTCCCTTCCAGAATCCTATTCTCCATGGGTGCCATGAGAGAACCCCTTTCCCGGAGGGAAGATGTGAAAGGAGTCGGGGCATGATCCAGTCAGAAGGGGTCCTGGAAAGCAGATCTTTTCACACTGGGGAGCCTGGATTTGTGGGTGGGGACAGCAGGAAATAGCCCAGGGAGGACAGAGGCAGCTGTCTGCCCCCAGCTGCTGCAGGAAAAGTGGGAGGGGGGATGTAAAGTAGATATTTAGGAAGCAAAAATGGGAGTTTGGTTTTTTATTGTTTGTTTGTTTGTTTTTATGTTACTGAGAATCATACTCAGGGCCTTTGAACTGAGCTACATCCACAGCCCCCAACCCTATTTTTTAATTTATTTATTTATTTTGAGACAGAGTCTCACTGAGTTACCCAGGCTGGGCTGAAACTTGTAATTCTCCTGCCTCAGCCTCTGAGAGTGCTGATCGGCATGTGCCGCGGTGTCCAGCTTCAGCTTCAGCTTTTAAACAAACTGCTTACTTAATCCTAACAGCCTCAGGGAGTTGGTGCTACTCTGACCTTCCATATTAACTGATGGGGAAACCGAGGACCCAAGAGGCCTGGGGATCACAGCTAGGAAGGAACAGAGCTGAGAGTCAAGCAGAAACCAGCTCCAGATGTCAGACTTCTAACAGGGGCGCTACTATCGCTGGGGCTGGGGCTGGGGCTCCTCCTCTGTCCCTATGCATCAAATGACCAGGGAGACGCCTGGGCAGTGGGATCCTTGTGGGAAGTAACTGTACGATTCAGCCGTGTGGCCCCCAGGAACCAGGGTCTTCAGGCTCCAGAGCCATCAGGGCTCGCCTAGATCAGGGTGTCAGTAAAAGTTAGGGGGTGAGAGGCACAGGCTTGACCCCTCCCAGCAGGCCTTGTGCTAGAAAGTCATTTCTAGGCTGCCACTCACCCATTCAGGGCAGAGCCGTCCCCCAGTGGCCAGCAGACACAGGCTCATGCCCACTTTGCCCTCTGCTGGGAAAATGAGGTGAGCAAGATTCTTGGGGTGGGAAGAGCTGGGAAATGTCCATACTCCAGCACAGGCCTGGGGCGTACAGGGCCTGGGGCGCAAAGGGCCTGGAAAGGTGAGGGGTGTGGCACCTGGAGAACCAGTGCCTATGTGTCTTTCCCTGGCGATCCAGACTGGAGATATGGGTGTCTGTGTCAGGGGTAGAAGCAACTGCCAGAGGCCTGGGGCAGCTAGTGGACCACCAGGAAGAAAAGCCTCCATTGTCACCCGCTGGCTAGGTGCCATGAGGTGCCCTTTGGGGCTAGTGCCCCCAAGGGTGGTGAAGGAAAAACAGTGTGAGGCCTTGCCTCTTCTCCTTGTTGGGGACACCCAGAAAAGGCCTGTTTCCCCGTGTGACTGGTTCACTGGAGGGGACACTGGGCAGCCTAGAGTAGAGGACCCTAAGTTGGGGGACACTGCATGCTAGTCAGGTGGGGTGTTCCTCCGCAAGGGAGCCAGAGAAAGGAGGAGGCACACACCCTGGCATCCTGGCGCAGGGTCCTGGGTGGCCAGTTCACACTGCGGGGCGCAGGCTGTCTCTACAGTCCGAGGGGCTTTGCTTTCCTCTCCGGTGGAGACAGATGGCCCAGAGGGGAGGCCACTGTTGCTGGAACTGGGGCTCCCCAAACCCAAACCGCGGCAGGGAGAGGGGGCAGAGCCGCCCCAGACCCTGCCCGCCCGCTTGCGCCCTGAATCGATTGGTGCAGGCCCATTAGTGGGGGCAGCTGCGAAGCCACCTCATCAATATTTTAAGGATGAACGGGCCTTGGGGTCCGGATCTGCACGCGGGCGGCGGGGCTGAAGCCCGGCCCCTTTGTTTTCTTTTCCAATTGTCAGTGCTATTTTTACCACCGGAGGGAGGAAAGCCGCCGCTGTCTCCTCCCCTGTGGGCGAGGGTCTCCATCTGGGCTCCTGCGGTGGGATCAGAAGGCAGGCCTGGGTGAGGAAAGCCCGGGAGTGATGGCAGGGGCAGGGGTGGCCCACCCCGTGGTCCCTGGGGGCCCAGCACTCTGCACAGAACAGGCTTCCTTTGTCCCCCATGCTAGTCCTCAAGAAGGAAGCCTCTGCAGGTGAGATGCCACCCTCGCCTGCCGCTGGTCCCCTGTTCAATATCCAACCACCGTGACTGCTTCCTCTTTCCTTTCCTTTTAAATTTTGAGGCAGGTTCTAGCTAAATCACAGAGTTGCCCAGGCTGGGTTCAAACTTGTCCTCCTCCTGCCTCAGCCTCTCAGAATTCGGGAGGTCCAGGCATGTCCCACTATGACTAGCTCGACTTGGTGACTTTTACCGCTGGCTGTGCAACCCCTGCTTCTTCCTGGCCACTCCCTGTGGGCAGCGAGATGGTGAGGGCAGGTCAGTGCAGCCCCACTTCTGTCAGCCCAGGTCAGTGTCTGAGTGGGCCCCCACCTGCCAGTCCTCTCCCAGTCCCAAGCCCACCTTGGGCCAGCTGGAAAACCGCCCTCCCTCATGCCTTCGCCACCAGGAGAGCCTGCCAGGCCTGGTCTGGGACTCCCGCCCTTCCCTCTGTGAGGGCTTTTCCCAGCAGTATCAGCATCAGGAAGAGCAGAAGGGACAGGGAAAGACCCCGGGAACGGGCTCACTTCCTGCCTTCCCCAGAATTGTTTCACAAGGGGGTGGCCACCGCTTTCACCCCTGATGGTCCCAGTGGCATAGGCAGAAACAGCGCCCTGCTGGGTGAGTGGCCGGGCCTTGCACTCCCCAGGAAATGTCACCCTGTGGATGAGGCGAGGCCTGGACCTGGGCTCTCCACCTTCCCAGAAGGCCACGGTGGTGGTGGTGGTAGGTGTGTTCCCACTTGCACCTCTGGGCAAAGGAACAATTGCCAGAGCCTCCCTCCACCCACCAGGACTGCCTGTGCCAGCTGGGGACACAACCCTGGAAGCCCAACACCTGGGGCACTTTGCAGCTCGAAGCTTGCTGGAGGGATACACGGAGGACTGGAGGGGCTCAGTGCAGATGCTTGTGCCAGCCTGGCAGGGGACCGGGCGAGTCTGGGAAGCCTTCCTGGAGGAAGCGACTCATGGATTCACCATGGAAGGCTGGGTAGGACTTTGTCAGGTGAGGGAGGGAACTGCAGGGCCGGAGGAGGGAGATAGCTCCCCAAGTTCTCCACTTTAGTGGACTCTGGATACCACCCCCTAGCTCCCAGTGTCCTGAGAAGCCCTGCCCTAGTCCTTGCTTAGCCTACGGTGGGTTGGGGACCTCTGTCTTCTTAGCAGGCCCTACTCCCTGGAGGACTCCTCTCCCCTGCTGCTGCCCTGACAGGGGTCTTTGAAGACACCTGGTTGCATGAAAGCTGGGGGCACTTACTCCTCAGGTGGCCCCGTCAGTCCTAAGGTCACAACAGTCCCAAGGAGGGCATTCCCACAGTGCTTGGAGGAGGATCTCGGGGAAGTGGGGCAGCTATTTTTACCTGGCGTTTAATTACAGGGCTGAGATCCTGGAGCACTCAGGAGGAGAGAGAGGGGCACCTGGGGAGCAAGGGACCCAGGAGGGTGGGTGCAGCCACAGCCCTCCAGATCAGTCCTGTCTCCCGACATGCCTGGCCCCCCAATGGGCCCAGCACAGGGCCACATCTCCCCACTTATTCTCTGCTGCATTTCACCCTGGCTGGTGTGCCCCAAGGTTGAAGCTTTCTCCCCAAGGGAGAAAGTTGCCAAGTGCCAGGCAGGACGCACACCATGTAGTTTTCTCATCCGCGGGGCCAAAGGAAGGGGTGCCTGGCAACAGCAGCTATGATGGAAGTAAGTCCTGGGGACCCAGAGTCTTCAGCACTGGTGCAAAACATTGGTAACTGCTGGGCACGGTGGCACATGCCTGTAATCCTAGCACACGAGGAGGCTGAGGCAGGAGGATCACCAGTTTAAGCCCAGCTGTGCAATGTAACAACTTAGCAAGGTGCTGTCTCAAACAAGTACTGAGGATGGTGTAGCTTAGTGCAAATGCCCTGAGTTCAGTCCCCCAAAACACTAAAAGGTGGGGGGCATACTTGACTTTGGTGAGAATCCTAGGCTTGTCATTAGAAAGCTGTGTGTCCTCAGGCCCAGTGTGAGGATTGAGGCCGTGACAGCTGTGATGCACCTGGTGTGCTGAACACATTCATTTGTCCATTCTGTCAGTGTTTACTGAGCACCTGCCACGTGCCCAGCGCTGGGAACACAGCTACACTCGACACAGGACTAGCACAGTTCCCACTGGGTTTTCAAGGAAGAGAGTGGAGGAGGACACACCAAGCCAGTAGATGTAAGTCAGATGACAACGAGCATGGTGGAGAAAAGTGAGCAGGTGTGGGGATACCAAGAGTCCCCGATGCAGGGGGAGTGGGAGAATTAACTAGCCTCAACAGATCAGTGGGGAAAGGCTATGCATCTGAGCAAAACCCCAAAGAGGTAAGGGAAAGAACATTCCAAGCATGTGCAAAGGCCCTGGGGTGGGAGTCCAGCTTGCCAGGCTCCAAATTAGCAAGAAAGTGAGTGCAGCTAGGAATGATGGCAGGAGAGAGCAGCTCAAGAGGTAAATGGTTACTGGTAACACTGGGTCATCCAGGGCACCAGCAAGACTCTGACTCCTACTCTGAGAGTAATGGGAACAGCTGCACGATTCTGAGGGGAGAGTGCTGATCTGCCTGTAACTGAGAAGTGGCAACTGGGCTCCTTCGTGGAAAGCAGACTTTGGAGGGCTGAGGTCAAGATGAGGGGTCCGGGTGAAACAGCTGTGAAACCATGCCGGCAAAAGATGGGGTGGGAGAGGGCTGGGCCTACCAGACTGCACAGGACTTCTCCCTGTCCCCCCACCTCTTACTGGAGATCAAACCCAAGGAGGACTTTTGCACTAAGCAGCTACATCTTCAGACCTCTCCCCACACCCACCCGTTTTAGACAGGGTCATGCTAGATTGCCTAGACTGAGTTTGAACTTGCAGTCCTCCTGCCTCAGCCTCCCAGAATGCAAAGATTACAGGCCTGAGCCACTATGCCCGGCTTCTACTGGGTTTTGAGGGTCCTCACAAGAGGTCAGAGAGGGAGTCATGCCACTGGAGACTACCAGGGACCCCATTTGAAGACCTCTGCCATTGCAGCCTCCTGTCCAGCTACAGGAATGGCCCTGGGGCTCCCTGGAACTAGGGGGGGGGGGCTCCCTGCAGACAGCGCCTCTGTTCTTTATCTCCCCCCACCCAAGCTGCCCCACCATGCCGCGCCAGCCCCAGGCTGAGGTCCCAAAGTCACCCGCTGCTCTCCCACAGCCGCAGGGGGCTGCGATGGGACGGGAGCCATGAATGGTGCCGCCGCCGGCCCTAGCGCCGCCCCCGCCGCCCCGGTCCCCGACTGGCGGCAGTTCTGCGAGCTGCACGCTCAGGTGGCCGCCGTGGACTTCGCGCACAAGTTCTGTCGCTTCCTGCGGGACAACCCGGCCTACGACACCCCGGACGCCGGGGCCTCCTTCTCGCGCCACTTCGCCGCCAACTTCCTGGACGCCTTCGGCGAGGAGGTGCGTCGCGTGCTGGTGGCCGCGCCGGCATCATCGGCGTCGCGGGGGCCAGCGGAGCACGAAGCCATGGAGCCAGGGGCGGCGGCGGCGGCGTCCCCAGCCCTCAGGGCGGCCGCCTGCGGCCACTCGCGCAGCTCGGAGGACGTGTCCGGCTCGGCCGCCAAGGCCCGCGCCCGCAAGGGCTTCTCGCTGCGCAACATGAGCCTGTGCGTGGTGGACGGCGTGCGCGACATGTGGCACCGGCGCGCCTCCCCCGAGCCCGACGCCAGCGCCGCCCCGCGGGCCGCGGAGCCTCCGGCGGAGCCGCGAGACAAGTGGACCCGGCGCCTGCGGCTGTCGCGGACCCTGGCAGCCAAGGTGGAGCTGGTGGACATCCAGCGCGAGGGCGCGCTGCGCTTCATGGTGGCCGACGACGCGGCCACGGGGCCCGGGGGCGCGGCGCAGTGGCAGAAGTGTCGCCTGCTCCTGCGGAGAGCCGTCGCCGGCGAGCGATTCCGCCTGGAGTTCTTTGTGCCACCCAAGGTGAGTGTGGCCCCTATCTGGGGGACAGAAGGGTGTGTGGCAGGCCACTGGGCCTGCGGCTAGCAAGTCATCCCTTCAGGCTGGGTTCTTTTACCTGAAGTCGGAGAGGGGAGCCAGGTGTGGTGTCACAGGTCTGTAATCTCAGCATTCTGGGAGGCTGAGGCAGGAGGATCACGAGCTCCAGTCAGGTCTGGGTGCCTTGTCAACTTATGAGAACCTGTTTCAAAAAAGGGCCCGAAATGTAACTCAGTGCAGGAGGGTGGGTAGCAGGGGGAGGGGCCCTCTACACAGAGGTGGCCTGGGTGCTGTACTTGGTCATGAGAACCCACCACCGGCTGTCCCACCCCGCTTCCCTTGCGCCAGGGCAGGCACCTCTTAGGGCTGAGGTCTGTGGGCTGAGGGGTGGTAGTGACCAAGCCCACTGAGAGAGGGGTCCCTCCGAGGTCTGTGCCTGACTCCATGAGACGCTGCCCCCGCGCAGCTGCTCCCGTGGCCCTTTGCCTGCTCAGCCTCCTGGGCACGAGCCCACAGAGCCCTGGGCAGCTTTCCACTTTCTCCAGGAAGCAAAGCTGCCTTGTTGGGAAGTGGGAATAAGTGTCCCACTAGTGGTCACTTTCCAAGAGCATGTCCTGCGTCAGCCGGGTGACCTGCACATGCAAGCTGTCCCCTCAGTACCTGAGCAAAGTAGGCACGTGGAACCCAGGTCATCAGGTACTTGGACAAGGGTACGCAGGCCACTCACGCTGCACAGCTGGCTGATGAAATGCACCAGCCTCTGGTGCAGGGGAGGAGGGAGGGACTGAGATGCCACAGCTGTGCAGGCCTCCAGGGACAACCTAGCCCCTCCCACCGCCATGCCTTCCTAGACTTGACCTGTCTTTTGGGATCTTACTGGCCCCCTCCCTTCCCATCCTAGAGATGTAGGGGTGTGGGCTTTCCAAAGCTGGTGCCTGTGATTTCCATGGGCCCTAGAACAGTGGCTTCCTGGGGGAAGTGCTCTGAACAGCTTTCTCCCGGAGCCCTGTACCCCAAGACTTCCTAAGGGCTCTCTGCCTCTCCAGACACCATGCTTGGTTCCCTAAGAGAAACTGTAGACCCTCAAATCTGCTTCTGGATAGACAGAGACCAAGGCCTGGGGAGAGGCGGGGCTTCCCCAGGGTCACCCAGAGGGCAGGGACAGAGGCCACCTCCAGCCCTGAGTGACAGTCCCAGCTGCCAGTCTCTAAATAGCTGCATTTGCTGCCCTGGGAGAAGGGACACAGCAGCTGGTGCCCTCTCAATTGGTCCCTCCGGAGCCCACCAACTTCACTGCTGGCAGAAGGCAGGGTTCCCGGGCCGACGGTACCCTCCCCCACCCTCTGAGGAAGGCAGGTGGGTTCCTAACCCACCCTGGCTTCAAGCCCTCTGTATTTTCATGCAGATATTGGAGTACATCTTGGTATTCAGAATGGTCCTCATGAAAGGGTGGGTCATGCAGTGATGTATTTATTGATTGGTGTGTTTTCTGTCACTATAACCAAATACCTGAGGCTGGATTTTATATCTTGATTTGTTTAGTTCATAGTTTAAGAGGCTGAAAGGCCAAGGTCAGAGAGCTCCAAGTCTTCTGTGTCTGACAGGGTCTTCTGGACCTGTCACAGCACAGCAGAAAAGGAAGGGAAAGGACAGACATGTGCAAAGGTGCAGAGGAGTAACCTCACTTATAAAAACCCACCCCCAAAACTACTAACCCAGTTCTCTGCGGACCACATTAACCTTTTACCAGGCCAGCGCCCCAGTGACCACCTGCTCTCCACGAAGCCCCACCTCCTAAGGGTCCCACCACCTCTGAATGCTGCCAAACTGGGGACCAGACCTCCCCAACATGGGCCCTTGATTGTCCCAGCCATCACTCGTAGTAAGGAGTCAGGAAGAGTTCCCAGATGTCCCAAAGGCCTGGCCTCCAGGGGGATGGGGCCCCCAGAGCAGCTTGCCAGTCACCCCGCCACCTGTTCATCCCCCCACAGGCCCCATCCCCTTGGGGCAGTCAGGAGTGTAGGGGCACACCCAGGGTTTTATGCCTCCTCTCCACAGCCCTTTGTGTATCAGTCTCAGTGAGTTCTCGCCTTCCTGCCTTCTAATCTCCTGCTCCTAACAAGTAACCCCCCCCCAAGCCCCAAGGAGTAACAGAGCTGGCCCCTGTCACTTGGGGAGCCACCAGGAAATCCACATTTGCAGGACAAGTTGCAAACCTGAGTAGGTGGAGCTCCTGGGGTCCCAAGGAGGGGGAGCTTGGGTTTCGTGTTTAGTAATTGGAAGTAGATTCAGAGTGGTGGCAGGGACAGAGGAGACCAGGGTGTGTAGCCTCAGACGCCAGCCCGAGGGACCACAGCACCTCCAGCCCACAAGAGCCCAGCAGAAGAGCCCAGGCCAGGCCTGCAGTGTGGAGCTCTGCTGCACCCATGGGCCTCAGCCCCTCAGGCTGCTGTGACAGTCTCCCACCAGCTCAGCCAGGCTCCTAGGTCACTGCCCCAAGCCTAGCCCCGTGCCTGCTGGACAGTGGCCCCGGCTGCCAGGAACTCCCATGCGCCTGCCCACCAAATGTATGTCTCTTCCCTTTCCTCTAAGAAAGTCCCTGTCCCAGAGCCCAAGTGCTGCCAGGAATCCCAGTCCCAGGGGACCTCAGGCCATGGCTGGGAGCTCTGGGGCAGGCACACAGGGTGGGCACCGAGTGGCACCTGGCCAGCTCACCCTGCTTCAGCCTTGAAGTCTCTCTGGGGTCACTAGTTCCTTTTACCCACACCTGGGCCAAGGCCTTGCTAAACCTGAAGTCCCATTCTGAGTCAGGAGCTGCGCTGTGTCCGGAAAGTCTAGTCTGAAGCAGGAAGCCAGCATTTGTTTCTTTTTTAATGATCTAGAACAGAATAGAAAGTATCACACTCCATCACACACGGTGAGGGTAAATATTGCCCGGTGAAACATTCGTTTCAGATATTTTTACCTATGTGGGTACACACTGGGCTCAATCTCAGCTACATATGTTTCTTACTATGGGTCCAGATCAAAAATGGGAAAGCCAAGGAGGGTGTTGGGGTGTACTCTGTCACCCCAGCCCTCTGGAAAATTGAGGGAGGAGGATGGAAAGTTGGAGCCCAGCCTGGGAAACTTAGCAAGACCCTGTTTCAAAATAAAAAATAGAAAAGAGCCAGGGCTGTAGCTCCATGCAAAGGGTCCATACTACAAGGAAAACGAAAAGAAAGAAAAAGCAACCTGCAGGGCTGGGGGCCGCACTGGGCAGAGGGCAGCCTGGCTGAGCTCACCCCACAGGCTCAGTAATCGGGACTTGTGGGTCCATTCCAGCTTGGTCCCTGATGCTGTGTGACCATGGGAGATGCTCCCCGGCCGGTCTCTTCAACTTCCCATGCTCTGCTAGGGAGGTCCTGGAACCTGTCCTGGGGACTGCTGTGACCCCCGCAGGCCACAGGGTGACCCTCTTGCTCTCTCTTCCTCTGGCCCGCAGGCCTCCAGACCCAAGGTCAGCATCCCCCTGTCGGCCATCATCGAGGTTCGCACAACCATGCCCCTGGAGATGCCGGAGAAGGACAACACATTTGTGCTCAAGGTGAACCACATGCTGGCCCTGAGGTCCTGTGTCTGCCAGGGTTGGCCACATCCCTCATAGGTAGCTCAGCTAGAGGTCACCCAGGGGAAGTGGGACACAAGCACCTGCAGGTGCAGAGACTCCCAGGATCCCCCAGCAGATGACTGGCACATGGCTAGCATCTGAATCTGGGTCTGGGTGCGGAACCATGTACCCTGGGCGTCCATGGCTATCTAGGGCCCTGTTCCCATTTCCTCCTGTCCCACGAAGCCCATTAGAGTTTCACTTCCTCCCTTCCCTTCCCCACAGGAGCCAGCGTGCACCCACCACAGGGGCCAGAGCTGGCAGCCAGGAGCGGTTATGCAAATGGCCCTGTGGCAGGGCTGGCCCTGCAGCAGCGTGCTAGGGTGTGGGAGCCTGCCTGTCCCACCCAAGCACAGCCTGTCCTTTCCCAGGCCCTGAGTAAGGTGGCCTGCAAGGGTCAGTGAGGACGCAGCTCCTGGCCACCAGGGCCAAGGTCCTTGTGTCTCCTGGAAGAATCAGCCAGTGTCTGAGGGCAGCGTCCCCAATGGAAACGGCACAAACTCCCCACCCTCCTCTCCAGGCTACAGTCTCACCCGTCCCTTTTCATTTTGGCATGAACTCACTGACTCATTGGGCAGAGGTTTGCCAGCGCTGGGCCCTGAGTACCCCAGGCAGGTGGCTGAGGCCACAGGTGCTGCCCACATGTCACTCCATCCCCAGGATGACCCCAGTGTTGCTGGTTATGCTTGAGAGGCTTGAGACACAGGGATGAGTTTGCCAGCCCCACTGCAGATCTCAATGTACCCATCTCTTCGGAGAGGGGATCCGGAGGGGTCTTGAGGACCCTCGCAGCCTAGCGCTACATTTGGACGGAGGCACGGGATGGAAAGCTGACGGCATATAGCCCAAGCACCCTGCAGACTTGGGTTCAGGTTCCAGCCCTGTCACTAGCTACTGCGTGACTTTCAGCAGGTTATTTGGCCTCCCTGAACCTCAATCTTCTGATCTATAAAACAGGGTCAGCAGATCACCAGCTCCCAAGGCTGGCTGGAGAGACTTGGCGTCATGTTAGAGTTCAGGTGCTCTGTGTGCTGAGCCAGTTGGCTTCCCATTTTGACTTGGACTCCATCTCTAGGTGCCAGGGTTCTGGCAGGGGATGCTGGACCTCATATCCCCCCGCCAGCGTGGCCTCTCCAAGCTTTAGCTCCAGTGCATGAGGACCCGGGGTCTGTGGGGCTGGCTTCTGCAGTGTGGGGTACAGGCCACTCCCCTGGGACTCAGGCTGGGTGCTGGGTAATGCCTGATGGTGACCCTAGTCTCCATCCTTGAGCTTTAACAGAGAGGGAGGGAGGGGCCATAGGAGCCACTGGGACTCTCATCCTGGGCTCTGGGGCCTGGAGCATGACCAAGGTCTGGACACCCAAACCCCCACCAGGTAGAGAACGGAGCGGAGTACATCCTGGAGACCATCGACTCGCTGCAGAAGCACTCGTGGGTGGCTGACATCCAGGGCTGCGTGGACCCTGGGTGAGTGCCATGTGGCCCAGGGTGGGGATGCAGCTGGGAGGTCCTCTGTCCTGCCCTCGGGGCAATCATGGACTGGTCCCGTCTGGCTGGTGTCCACCAGGACTGCCGAGCCCCAGCCCCCCTCTCACCCTCAGCTGACTCTGAGAGGCCTGTTCTACAGGGCCAGGCCGTGGGAACCCCTTCCTGTCTTCACTCCAGGAAGCCTCAGATGACAGGGAGGAGACTGGGATGGGGCTGGGCCCCTAACTCAGCCCCCACCCAGGGAAAGCCTGCTGTAACCATGCCCACCTAATCAAGTGGGCCTTACCCAGGTACAGCCCTATACTCCTAGCACTCTGGGTGCCTGAGGCAGGAGAACCACAAGTTTAAGCCCAGCCTGGGCAACTTAGTGACTTGGCAAGACCCTGACTCAAAATAAATTTTAAAAAAGATCTGGGAATGTAGCTCAGTGCAGAGGTCTTGGATTCAATCCCCAGTATGTAAAGGAAAAAAATCAAACAAACAAACAAACAAAAAAGACCACACTGAAGTGGCCAGAAGGCAGGAGTAAAGAAGAGCCCAGCAAAGGTGTGGGGTGTACCAGAGCCTGGGGCCCGAGAGGATGCAGAGGCCTCGAGGTAGCTGATAAGGGGGGGTGGAATGGGAGTCTGGGAAGCTGGAGGGCCCAGGGCAGTGGGAGCCAGTGGCCAGTAAGCGGAGGGCAGCTCCCTGAGCTGTGTGCAGAGAGCACAAGGCAGAAGGCGGCCGGTGGGCCTGCAGCCCAGCTCTTGGCAGCAGCTCTCAAGCTAATGGGGTGAGCTGGCCTCAGGGAGGGGCTGCACCTTGTAATTAACAGCTTCATTTGAGGAGGCACAATTAAAGTCCTGAGTACCTCCCTGGCCCCACTCCCCAAAGTGCTCCTTACCCCTCCTCTGCCACCCAGCCCACCACCCGCTCTGCAAACTTGTCCTGGCCCACAAGGGTGAACTTGGCTCTAGAGAATGTGAGAGCTATCACTCGAGGCACAGATTGGGAGACAAAGGCCCCACCTACCACCATGCCCGCCCCTATCTGAAGGTCTCTCAGGTTAACAAGTAGCTGTCATGCAGCCGTAGGGGACACCTTCCCTACCTGGTGGTAGCCTCTCTGGTTACTTAAGTGGTCACAGAGCTACCTGAGGGTGAGGCTGAGGCACCCCAGGTTTACTGATCAGTGGGTCAGCCAGCCAATGTCCAGCCTCTGGAAGCAGCCCAGGGCCAAGGCCAGTCCCATGAGAGGACATGGCTGTCCTTTCTCCACCTCATAGTGACAGCGAGGAAGATGCTGAGCTGTCCTGTGCCCAGGGAAGCTGTCTGGCCAGCCGCGTGGCCTCCTGTAGCTGTGAGCTCCTGACAGACGGTAGGTGGGGACAGAGCTGGGAGGGGACAGGGTTGGAGAAGGTGGACACTGGAATACATAGATAGAGGGACATGTTTCTCACATGCCACTTCCCTGACAGCAGACCTCCCCCGGCCCCCAGAGACATCAGCAACTGTGGGGACCGTGGTGACAGCCCCACACAGCCGTACACGAGACACGCCTGGAGAGTCCCTGCCACACGTCCCTTTAGAGACCTTCCTTCAGACCCTGGAGTCCCCAAGCACCAGTGGTGGTGACAGCAATAATGCAGGTACCAGTGGGCAGCTGGCTTTCCATGCCCCTCCTCTCCTGGGTCCCTGTACCCCAGCCAGAGACCCCCAAGTGCCCTCCAGAACCCTTGCTGGGCCCCAGATGGGGTGACTTCCCACACACACATCAAAGTGTGCTACACTGTTGTTTTTTGGCAGTACTGGAGATTAAAACCAGGAACAGTGCCGGGCTTATAGCTCAGGGGCCCGGGAACCTGCCGGGCAAGCACAAGGTCCTGAGTTCCATTCATGGTACAAAAAAAAATACTCAAAACCCAGGACCTTCCCGTTGAGCTACATCCTCGGCCATTCGTATATATTATATTGTTTTATTTTTACTTTTCTATTTTTGAGGTAGGATCTTGCAACATCATTAAACTGGGGTGGAGCTTTCCAGCTTCCTGCCTCAGCCTCCCAGGGTACAGTGATATAGGCCTGTGCCAGTGTACCCAGCTTGAGTCAGTATTTTGTTGCCAGTCTAGCCTAACCCTCTCATCAGGCCGGTTCCCATAAAACACACTTATAGAAAAGGGTGCAGAGGTGGGAACCACAGGCAAACCCGGGAGACTTGATGTGTTCTCAGTTGGTTGCTGACTTGCAGGGTGATTCCCTCGTCACCCTTTCCCTCCTGTGGTCAGTCTACTGCCCATGCATGGTCATCGGAGGGTCAACTCCATGCCTACTCCTAAAATGAAACTGAATAACCAACAAAATGTTACCCAACATTTCCCTTATGTTGTTACCTTCCCCCCAGAAGAGGGTGCTGAGCCAGATCCTGAGGCAGAATCCAAGCTGGAACTCTCTGACTACCCCTGGTTCCACGGGACACTCTCACGGGTCAAGGCAGCGCAGCTGGTGCTGGCAGGAGGGCCCCGGAGCCACGGCCTCTTCGTGATCCGCCAGAGTGAGACTCGGCCGGGAGAGTACGTGCTGACCTTCAACTTCCAGGGCAAAGCCAAGGCAAGTGTGGGGGACGGGGAGGCGCACAAAGTGGAACAGCCAGCCCTGGGGGGCAGGCTGAGGTGGCCTTGGTCCCGCAGCTTTGGTGTGGTGGGACTTCCCATAGGCCAGGCCTGTGCCAGCCGTAGGGGAGCCTCGTGCTGGTGGCCAGGCTCACCCAAGGCCAGGTCCTTCTGAGAACCGAACTTGGTGGGTCCTTTTGGTCCTTATGAATTGAGGATCTGTGGCACTTGGGGTTTCCAGGGGTCCCCGCCCAGAGCCATGTGGCTACTGGCTGAGGTCAGCTGAGGCCCTAAGGGCCACACCTCAGGACAGTCCCTTCTGGTTCCCTCGCCTGGCCACTCTCTAGCCCCTTGTGCTTAGACAAGGGACAAGGACAGGAATACACCCATCTCCAGAGACACACGCAGGTCCTGTAGTGAAACAAGAGGGCCACACAGGATCTTGGGGACAGAACCAGCAGGGACCCTGGTCTGCGATGTTCAGGGGAAGAACTGCTGATACGGAGACAGGTGGGGAGGGTGACCCAAGCAGGGCCATGAGCACAGCTGGGTGCCAAAGGAGTCACAGGCCATAATGACCTACGGGGCAAAGGAAAAGATGACAGAAAAGTCAGGGGACTATTGGGTGTGACAGCATGTGGCCCGAGTGGGCAGCACCCACGCGCCATCCCCAGGATTCCAATAAGGAAACAGACCAGGTGCTGGCTCTTTCTGGGACCCAAGTTCCCAGTGGCCCCTGCAGGAGGGGACACCCTAGGATTCCTGCTCTAGGCCGGCAGCGAGGAGTCAGCGGCCGTCTGCAAGCTCTGAGCTGGCCCTGCAGTGGCTCCCAGGCCTCTCCATGGCAGTGCTGGCCCACCATGGAGGAGGTGACACCTCCTTGGAAGGCAGCCATCCTTAGCAGCTCCTCCAACAACCAGGCGCTCAGCACCATCCTGGGCGGATGGCGGTTTGCTTCTTGGCCAGTGCTGCCTCCCCAGAGGGCCTGGATCTGACTAATACCCAAGCCAGGGGCGGAAATGATTCCCAGTTTGCCGAGGAGTGTGGAGGGGTAAGCAGAGCCAGGAAGAGACAGCCTTGGATGTGGCCTTCCCCCCTCACTCAGCTGCTGCTCTCAGCTCCCTGCCCCTTAATTTAGGGGTAACTTAGGGGTGCAGTATAGCATCGCCCCAGTACCCTGCTGCCACACCCTTTTGGGAAGGGAGATCACTTCTTCCAGAAGCAGCAGCTTTTTCAACCTTCAGGTAACAAAAGTCTGGAAGGTTTTCCAAATCCAAATCATTGGCCTTGCTTCCTCCTGCCCTGGCAGCCCAGCTCTGCCCTGGGCCTCTGCCCCCAAAGGCCCTGCCCAGACCTATAGCCACAGTGGGACCTCCTATGATGTTCCTCCAAGCTGGGTCCCAGCCCTGGCCTGCTATTAATTTTCCCAGGGTTTGCTCACACTGTTCCTGGCCCCACCGAGTGGCAGAACTTGCTCCTACAAGGGCACCCCAAGGGCTTCTCTGCCCTCTGTGTAGGCTCCTAGGCCAGCTCCCCTTCCTGGACTTTGGGCCACACACACACCCTGGGAACTCCATCTGCACCTCCTTTCCTGCCTTGCATACCCTACAGCCACTCTTCCTCCTGTGGGATACATGCTAGACAAAGAGAATGGCAATGAGAGACACATGGCCCCCACTGGAGACCACAGGCCCGTGGCTTCTCAGCGAGTTGCCCACTTCATGTGGGCTCTGGGGACCCACAGAGAAACTGGCCCCACGTCGTCCAGCTGTTCCCACTGCAGCACAGCTGAGGAGCCAGGCAGGCAGTCCACCCCCCTGGCTTTCTCACTGTAGGGACAGTAGCAGCCCTGGCCTGCTAGGCTGTCAGGATCACACAGAATGAGTTCCTGTCCCAGCACAATGCTCTTTGAATATGGGGCAAGTCACTCTCCTACATCTCTAGTATGGGGGAGGGAGACCCTCCTGGGTCTTCCTGGGGGGAGGGAGTGACAGACAAGGGCACAGGCACACAGCTGCTGCTGCTAGGGTGGGGGCAATACCTTTGCCCTCTGTCCCAGCCTGGATCTTGCACCTGCATTCCCCACCCCCACCCACCCCCACGTGTGGCCCCCACTCCCAGGTAGGGCTCATGAAAGGCACTTGCCTGGCAGATGGCCAAGCCAGGAACCCACTACTGACTGGCCTGCCTGTGTCCACAGCACCTGCGCCTCTCCCTGAATGGCCACGGCCAGTGCCACGTGCAACACCTGTGGTTCCAGTCTGTGCTGGACATGCTTCGACACTTCCACACACATCCCATACCCCTGGAGTCAGGGGGCTCCGCCGACATCACCCTCCGAAGCTATGTGCGGGCCCAGGGCCCCCCATCTGGTAAGATGTCTCCACTTGGCCCCAGCGATAGCCCTGGACAGGCAGCCACGCAGCATGGATGGGGGAGAAGATGCTAAGCACCAAGATCCCTGACCAGAACCGAGGGTGCCCCTTTCCCCTAGGGACAGGGACTGTGATCTCCGGAGAGGGGTAGGGAATGGAGAAGGTGCCAACTGGACACCTACGTCCCAGTGATCCTTGGCAGGGCAAAGGGGCCCACGGTGACACAGGAGGGTTCCCTGGAGCCCAGCACAGCTATGGGTCAGCCCCGGAAGAACTGGCAGGGTGCATAAAGGGTTCAGCCTACTAGGCTGGTGGGGCGCTGTGTGCCATCTCAGGAGGTGGGCTCACCCAGACGGTACCCCCCACTGGGGCCTGGCGTCTGGCGCGGTCCTGTGCTGCGATACTGACGCCGCGCGGCCTCACGTTGCAGACCCGGGACCTTCGCCCAGCGCCGCGCCCGCGGCGTCCGCCTGCTGGGCCGAGCCCGCCACCCAGCCCTACTTCTCCAGCCTGGCCGCGGCCGCCTGCCCTCCTCCCGCCTCGCCCTCGGACGCCGCAGGCGCCTCGTCCTCCTCCGCCTCGTCGTCTTCGGCCGCGTCCGTACCCGCGCCCCCGCGCGTCCCCGAGGGCCCACTCAGCGCGCGCAGCCGCAGCAACAGCGCCGAGCGCCTGCTGGAGGCCGCGGCCGGCTCGGTAGAAGAAAGCGCGGAGGCGGCGCCAGGGCGCACCCGCGCCGTGGAGAACCAGTACTCCTTCTACTAGCGGGGCGCCGCCGGCCGCGGGGAGGGGAGAGGCACGCAGGCCCCGCCCACCGGCGCGGCCCCGCCCACCAGCCCAGCCCCCGCTGGGGGAAAAGCGAAGCTCTTCAGTGAAGACATAAATGTTATTAAAGAGCCTGTTTTAGGGACTGCACCCGGCTCTCCTGTCGTCCTTTTTGACTTCGCTGGCTTTGCCACCGTGAGAGTGACTCCTTCCATTCAAGGACAGCCAGAGATCCCCACACAGGCCCAGTCTAGCCCACTGGGACCTAGTGCCTGCCCTGTCCTGGCTGAGTTCTGTTGTAAGGAAGTCAACAGAGATAAAGAGGTGGGCTCAGGGAGTTTGTCCAGGGCAGGCGGCTTTAGCGGAACTGAGAGCGAGAGAGGTGGGAGGCAGTGAATGATGGGGAGGGTTCAGGTCACAGAGGCCTTGAATGCTAGGGTGAGGAGCTGGCCCTGGCTGGGAGAATAAGGTGTCCTCCTGCAGGTCAGTGTGGGCCTGGCAGCGTGGAAGGGTGGCAAGGCAGGGGGTTGGGCAATGGGAACGGTTGGATTTCCCAGCTCTACCTAGAAGGGGTGAGGACCTTCCCACCCTTCATGGGTACATCCAGTGCCTGCTCAGCTCCATATCCCCAGCTGCACCTAGTATTCAGGCCTCAGGCCATGGTCTTCCCAGAACGGGCCTACTCCTGCAGGGCCAGAGCCCACATCCCTCCCCTACTCCAAACTGTCCCCCAGCCTGGGGCTACAGATTCATAATCCCCTCTGCTCAGGAATGGCCTCAAAGGACCAGGCCAGTGGTGTGTACCACAGACCCCCAGGCAGCTAAACCTCAAGGACTGCAGCTGAGACACCCACAAGGGAGGCATAAGCACCTTGGGCTGGGGCCCCCTGCCTGGCTGGAGCCCTAATGGTTTGAGGTCTGTGCCAGTCCCCATCATACCTGTTCAGGAGCAGCGGGCACAGGAGGAGGCCAGGCTAGTAAGGCATATCTGTATGCCACCTGCTTCTCAGCCAGCTGGGGAGAAGGCTGAGCTTTTCTCCCACTCCCTCGGAGGATGTGACCTCCACAAGTATCCCAAGATGGCCTCCAGGATGACATGAAGACTTGAACACAGGATGTGCCAACCTGCAGCTTCCTGCTCCTCCCTCAGATACAGTCGGCCACTGCAGAGGTCACTTGCATGGTTAGCACTCAGAATGGAACAGAAAACAGAAACAGGCAAAAGGAACTGATGGCAGTCACATTTAAAATTAGGAGATCACAGCCAGTTGTGGTGGCACACATCTGTAATCCCAGTAGTGGGGAGGCGGGAAGGCAGGGGAATTCTGCCAACTTTGAGGGCAGGCTGGGCTACAAAGTGAGTTCAAGGCCAGCCTGTACTGCACAGTGAAACCTTGTCTCAAAAAGACAACAAAGTGGGGACTCAGAGGAGAACATTCAGTCGTGTTTTTGTGTACCCTAAGCATGGCAGTCAGGCAGTGTTCCTCCATGCTCCTACGCTGAAGTGAAATCAGGGGGCTTGGAAGATGATAAGGTAACCCTGGGCCCTCCCAAGGGATACAGCAAGAGGTCAAATGGAAGGGACCTCTTTCTTCCCCAGTGTGGCCCCTAGATGAGCCCCTCCAGCCTGTCACTCAGTGTGCTGCTTCCAGAAAACTCCTCGGGGAAAATCACAGTGGTTGCACACCTGGCAGCAGCATTTCCAGTGTGGTTTCATTTGCTCTCCAAGAAGCACTTCAGATGTTGCTCTGTGCCAGGGCCAGCACATTGGGTAACTAGAGAGGTGGCCAGGCAGGCCTATGGCTATGTGATAGGCACAAGAAACCAGGAGGGCTGGCCATAGTGGCACAGACCTGTAATCGTAGCACTCAGAAGGTTGAGGCAGAATCACCACGAGTTTGAAGCCAACCTGACCTACATAGCAAGACCCTGTCTCAAAAAAAAAAAAAAAAAAAAAAAAAAAGCCAGGGTTCTGGCTATGTAGGAGGATGGGGAGGAGAGCGGATGCCAGGGGTAGCAAGGTGGAGAGGGCCTTGAAAACCAGGCAAGGAGTTTGCTTAGGAAGCCAGCAGTAGTTGGAAATGGGAGCCCAGATCGCCCTGGAGCCCTGGGAATGGGGAGGTCAGATGAATCCAGGGGACCTGGAGCCCGAAGTTAAGTACGAGTGAGGAGTGAGGGGCCAGGGCAAGGGAGGAGAACAGCCCTACAAGAAAGGTCAGCAGCAGTGTGCAGGTCTTGCTGGGTGGAGCGACCAGGCCTGCAGGACCCAGGCAGATAGCTCCACCCACCGGCGCCTGCAGGGAGGGGAACCCGGAAGGCGATCTCTGCGGCTGGGGAGAAGAGGAGGAACTTGGACGGCCCAGCAGGGGGCTCCCAGGGGCAGGAGTCCTTTGTCCAGCTCAGGGCACATCTCAAAACCGACTGCCCTGCTCTCCGCTTCCTCCTAAGAGGTGGCGTTGGGGGTCTCCCCACACCAGACGCAGACGGTCATTTTAGCTGCGGAAAGTGCGAGGCCAACACTGCACTCGTCGGGGCCTGGGTCCAGACTTTGCTGGGTTCTTGGGGTTTGCCTGAAGGCGACCTGTTCTCAGAGTGCTCCGTAGTGATCCAGCAGTGCAAGGTTTGCCTTCCAAGGCTCCCAGGCCTGACCGCAAGGAGTGAGTTTTTCTTTCCTCGGCAACCCCCCAGCCAGATCGGAAGTGGGGAAATGCCCTATAAACTTGCTTCCAGCAGATGGTTCCCATGGGAACCGACGTGCATCTGGGGGAGGGGAGAAGCCACACCTGTGCCTGCCGGTCAGCAGGGAAGGCACACTTATGGCCTAGAAGGCAGAAAGTTCCTAAGGAAATGGACTTGGCATACCAGGCGTGATTGAAATAAAGGGTTCCCCGTGCTGGTTATTTCTAATGTATGAAAACTGGAGCCCCTTTGGAACAAAAATAAACTTCCTGGGGCCCAGGGAGGCTCTGACATGGCTGACATTAAGAGTTAAGCAGAGGGGGCTGGGGATTTAGCTCAGCGGCATAAGCGCCTTCCTTGCAGGCAGTCGTGAGTTCGATGCCTGGTACCGATAAAGAGGAAAAAGACAAAAAAAAAAAAAAAGTGAAGCAGAGTATTGATGGGAATTTTGAGCGATGAATCTCAATCGTTCTCCTAAAATCCCTTTATTTAAAAAAACGCATCTAGCCAGCACTGCCATTCTGTGGGTGGGAAGTCATCTGCAGAGCCCTTTCCGCCCGCAAGCCTCTAGACCAGGGGTTTCTAATCTCCCCTCATCCCCCGCCTTTTCCCAGCACTGGAGATGACCCCAGCACCTTCTGAGCTACAATCCCAGCTCTTTTTGTTTCCTTATTTTGAGACAGGACCTCATTAACTCTCTTAAATTATCCAGGCTGGATTTGAAATTGTGATCCTCCTGTCTTGGCCTCCCAGAATGCTGAGATTACAGATCCAGAACTAAACTCTTGTGCCTCAGGCACCTTAATAGTCTGGTGAAACCTGTAGTGCTCAGAAGAATCTTTTGCTTTTTTCTTTTCTTCTTCTTCTTCTTCTTTTTTTGGGGGGAGGGGATTGTTGTTGTTGTTGTTGTTTGTTTTTGTTTTTGAGACAAGGCCTCAATATGCAGTTCAGGGTGACCTTTAACTACACCACTCAGACTGGCCTCACATTCACAGCAATCCTCCTGCCTCAGCCTCCTCAGTGCTGGATTACAGGCATGCACCACCATGCCCAGCCAAAAAGAATATTTACCATTTATGAAATTAAATAGCCTTGCAAAGGAAACCAGTTATAGTGCAAGTCCATTTAAAATATTAGATACAATAAAAAAGTAATTAAAATAGTTTTAAAATTTGTGATACAGTAGTATACATGGTTCTTTTTTTAACACCCTAAATACCAAGTTGTGGTTCTCATAATCACAGTAATTTCAAAGTATGCTGGGGTTGCAAATGATACTTGAAGAGTTTCTACAGCGACCTCCAAACTGTGCTGTGATGACATCCCTGGCTTCAAGTAGCCTGTAAAGCTAATACTGGCATGTGCTTTCCAGTTAGAGGTTAAAGTGAAGAGGTGGGTTGGGACAGCTCAGAGGTGGGGTTTCACCCAGCCCTGCAAAAAGCCACCTGTCCAGAAGATGCTCAGGGGAATACAAGCTGCCAAGGGCTCTATTTCCATTGCAAAACCCCAGAAAAACCCAGATGGCCACCTGCGGGAGAGAGGGAGAGACTGCTTACCAATGTGACTGCAACAGTCTGCATTCCCACACACAAATTATGGTTCCAATATCTCTTCATCCTTACAAACATTTTTTGACAATATCCATCCTATTAGATACGAGTATAATCTCATTTTAGTTTTATTTTTTATTTACTCATCTGCTTTATTCTTTATTACACACACACAGGCACACACACGTCTCATTGCAACAGCAGTAACACTGCCACCACAGGATGGAAACAGCTGGGGATCCTGTGCACAGTCTCCCCCACCCGTGTCATTTTAGTTTTGTACCTTCTGATTTTCCTGCGTCCTGAGAGGAAGATTAGAATTTCTTGAGCTTTTGAAATAACAGGCTTTTAGACCAGTGTGCTATAAATCGTATTCTAGAATATTTAGTTTGAAAACAAAATTCATAACACACACAACATATGCATAATATCTGTTCAAGTTAAATACTAGAAAATCACACTCATTCTTCCCCCCACTTTGGTTTTTTTTCCCTCCCCACTTTGGTTTTTTGAGGCAAGGTCTGACTGTATAGCTCAGGTTGGATCAGAACTTACTGTGTAGCCCAGGCTGGTCTCAAACTTGCAGTGATCCTACTGCCTCAGCCTCCCAGGTGTTAGGGTTACAGACACATACCACCATGCCCAGCTCCACACTAATTCTTAAAATTTTTAAAATTGAAATAGATTCATGAAAAGACTGAGTTACAGGTAATAGGGTCTTGCTTCTAGCCAAGAGCAGTGACAGAACCCCAAGTATCCTTCTGCCCTAAAATATTGCTGGTCAGGATATTGGACATCTGGCAGTGAAGTATAGTATAGGCTCAAAATCAAGAAGCAGCAGGGTATGGCGGCACATACCCATGATCCTGGCACTCTGGGCAGCTGAGGCAGGAAGATCTCCATTCCGAGCCCAATCTAGGC